ACAGATACCCCACAAGTCACCATATCTCACCTTGTACAGGTACCCCACAATTCACCATATCTCACCTTGTACAGGTACCCCACAAGTCACCATATCTCACCTTGTACAGGTACCCCACAAATCACTATATCTCACCTTGTACAGATACCCCACAAGTCACCATATCTCACCTTGTACAGGTACCCCACAAATCACTATATCTCACCTTGTACAGATACCCCACATGTCACCATATCTCACCTTGTACAGGTGCCCCACAAGTCACCATATCTCACCTTGTACAGGTACCCCACAAATCACTATATCTCACCTTGTACAGGTACCCCACAAGTCAATATTCCTTGCCCTGTACTGTACAGGTACCCCACATGTCAACTGATGTAGATTTGTTTTTCCATTTTGATCTAGAAGTCTATATGTGAGTTACAATGAGACTGACACCTTTTTGACAGAAAAACATGGTGATTTCAGTAAAAAAAAGTGACTGAAATAATCAAGCCACAACCTCTACTCACTCAAATGTATCATAATATCAGGATTTGGAATTTCAAACAGTACAGCTATAATAATATTTCCTGATCCCTGAACACTGTAATATCCTGTGCAATCTAACCAATATTTTGTCCTGCATAAGGTGTTGGGTTAGAATAGTTTTACTTACAGTTACATAGCCTCAGTATAAACTTACCAAGAGTCATGATTATATAACAAATAAGTAGGGAAGGGAAGACATGACACTGTCTAAATGAAACATAAGCTTTTCAATGCTTTAGACAGATTTATGTAGAAGTTTTCAGCAAATTATTCTCAAATTGGTTTTAAATGCTACATGTACAAAACAGAAAAAAAAAATCTAATACATGTAATCACTTCATTTACAAGATCATTGTTTTCTTTACAAGTTGATTAACAGCATACATTAACATTGATGGGGAAAGCACCTAATCAGTATTTTAGATCCAAGTTCTATCTTTAAAATATACTTCTATTTTAGTTTCATGGTAATAGTGTGTGTGGTAAATTGAATGATACAAATGTACATATTGGTCAATTATTATTTTTGTTTACTTCTATTGCTGACAGTAACAAACACATATAAATAAACACTGCTACATTTACATGTAGAAGTGTGGAGACAAGCCAGAAAACTTAACAGCCATAACTCAAACAATTCTATTATTGAACAATAGTTAGTGTATCAATGTATACACAGTGTCATTGTACACAGAGTGTCACTGTACAGAGAGTGTCACTATACACAGAGTGTCACTATACAGAGTGTGTCACTATACACAGAGTGTCACTGTACACACAGAGTGTCACTATACACAGAGTGTCACTGTACACACAGTGTGTCACTGTACACAGAGTGTGTCACTATACAGAGTGTGTCACTGTACACAGAGTGTCACTGTACACAGAGTGTCACTATACACAGAGTGTAACTATACACAGAGTGTGTCACTATACACAGAGTGTCACTATACACAGTGTGTCACTGTACACAGAGTGTCACTGTACAAAATGTGTCACTGTACACAGAGTGTCACTGTACACAATGTGTCACTGTACACAGAGTGTGTCACTGTACACAGAGTGTCACTGTACAGAGAGTGTCACTGTACAGAGAGTGTCACTATACACAATGTGTCACTGTAAAGAGAGTGTCATTATACACAGAATGTCACTATACACAATGTGTCACTGTACACAGAGTGTATCACTGTACACAGAGTATCACTATACAGAGAGTGTCACTATACACAATGTGTCACTGTACACAGAGTGTGTCACTGTACAGAGAGTGTATCACTATACACACAGAGTGTCACTATACACAACGTGTCACTGTACAGAGAGTATCACTGAACACAGAATGTTCCTGTACAGAGTGTATCACTGTACACAGAGTGTCCCTGTACAGAGTGTGTCACTGTACACAGAGTGTCCTGTACAGAGTGTGTCACTGTACACAGAGTGTCCCTGTACAGAGTGTGTCACTATACACAGAGTGTCCCTGTACAGAGTGTGTCACTGTACACAGAGTGTCCCTGTACAGAGTGTGTCACTATACACAGAGTGTCCCTGTACAGAGTGTGTCACTGTATAGCGTGTCTGTTTACAGTGTGTCACTGTACAGTTTGTTTACACAGAGTGTCACTGTACACAGGTTGTGCAACTGTGCAGTGCATCTGTTTACAGTTTGTCACTGCACACTTTGTTTACACAATGTATGACTATACACAATATACTGGTTTACACAGTGTCACTTTACAGTGTGTCTGTTTACAGAATGTGTCACTGTACAGTGTGTCTGTTTTACACATGAGTACAGCTGCTGCCTTCCATGACACAAACAACATAACAGTAACATTTTATATACAACAAAAACAGCCATCTCCGGAAGGAAATTTTCTCTAACACATTATGAGTAACACTTGTAATCATACTTCTGTTGTCACTGAATCACAGATTCCTACTCCTAGTATTTAGCCCAGGATTTACTACTAGTATTCATGGTAACAGTTATCTCCCTTGAATTTCAAATGCCCAAGTCTGGTGCATTTATTCAAGTGTAAGATGTAATAGCTTTTATTTAAAATCCAAGACTTCAGGTACCACTGATTAACATAAAAATTAAAATAAATTAACTCTTCTCAAAATTTGAAGAATATAAAATTTGATTAGACATACACCATACTGTGAAAATCAATAATGCCTTGGAATTTCTTTCTAATATTTAATATTTACTAATATATGGCAGAACTAAACTCAACCTTGACTTTTAACAAGGAGTCTCTTATGTTTTTATGTTTAAAGATTTAGGTTTCTAAGTTTTCTATTTACAGTAGGCCTCATATCATATTTTTCTGACACACAGATAAGCACACCTGTCTGTTTTGTCTGGTACTCACAACATCTTAGTGAACACTTGTACATATCTACCATTTTACTTAAGTTGAGGGTCAAGTTTTTATATAGGAAAACAAATAATATTTTCACTTCACTGATACTTAAACATTTTTATTTTGTAACTGAAACACAATGTTTAAAAATGCACCAAAGAGCCATTCATCATCAGCACATCTTAAAACAAAGGGTAGATAACTCTTCCAACTTTCCATCCCACAACTTTGAATGGTTCATCAAAGAGCTTCACATTTGACAATATTACTGGTACATATATGCTGGAACAACATTTTGACATCATTGTGATTAAGATAACATCAGTTTGAGGATGTGATATTTAACCAAACTGAATAGAAACAAACTTGGCATAAAAATATAACACATGAGATCAAATAAAATTGTATCACAACAAATTGATGTAAATAAATTGGGATATGAAAATCCAGCAGTTTAATATAAACACAAAGCTGATATCTCTTCAAACTTATATTTAAAACTCTACTAATACAAAAAAGGCATATTAATAGACTAGCATATTTGGAAATTTATAAAACTTGCCAATACATACGTAAAATATTTTGAAATCTATGAAAAAAGTAACAAAATGAAAATCTTTTATAAATTAAAAAAAAAAAAATCAAAATAAGGCCATTTTCAAAATTGAAAAAAGGGTTAAAAATATTTTCTTAAGATTGATTACCAAGGCTACAATTTAATGAAATATATAATTAATTCATTACTAGAACATAAAGGACACTTATATATTTTTAACAATACTTACTTTGCAATGAAATTTAAATTCAATCTTATTAAATTGTGCTCCAATGTTAAAATGGTTCATGTTAAATATTCCTATCCTTTCAAATATCATTCTGCTTAAATTTTTGGATCAAACTTTCTTATTTTTCCATAAATACCAGCAGCGTTACTAAAATTAAAAAATCTACTCTGAATATGTTTCATAGGTGAAGCATTATATGGTGTCAAAATTGAATTGAAACCTGTCATTAAATGATAGTGGTATTCATGAGCGAAGATAATAATTGTTTTGTTTGAATGCTAAATAGAAAATCATTATATAATATTAATATGTTAAAAGTCAAATTGTTTGATATTAGAGTGATTTGAAGACATTGCTGTTACTCAAGAAAAGAAAATATAATCATAAAATATTTTTCAAGCGACATGAAAAAGCCAATCCTGTTTCACCTATGTTGATGTAATGAACTTGCCCAGTTGATGGTTGGACTAGGTTATTGTAGTCTGTATGTAGATCAGGAAAATAGCACTTACCTTTAATAAATATATGTATACACAGAACTATGTATGATATTGATGACATGTGTTGAAATCCTTAATATTTGTTGGGTGGAAAAATAAAATGAAGTAATTAAGTAAATAAACAATGCAAGTGATCACTGATGTGATGAAGTTTATTTCAGGCTCAGATGACATTGCCTTAAATGATCTGAAAAGGTTGCGACAAATATTCTAGATGAAATATTTTTGAAATGTGACAAATATTTCAGATGAAATGTTTTAAATGAATCTTAACAAATCATTGCCCTGTTTAGTATTTTGTAACATCAGACAAATAACACATGTACAATCACCCTGCCATCCCTGAGATTCCAATATGGGCTCTTTGATATCTAACAATTGGACCAGTCTTATGAAGATTTTAGGGAGGGTCAGAAGGGTAATAAATAATCCAATGTGTATATCGAATTAAACATCCTAATATCACAATACTTCAGAGTTACCTCCCCTTAATATTGGGAAAATAACTGATATTCACTATATTTTAACTAATTGTCTTGAACTCCAAGGAGATACAAATTCGCCTCAGTTGTCTCCCTTAGAAGTCAAAGTCACAAGATGACACAGTTGTAAAGGCCAAGATAAACCTTCATTATTTCAAATCATTGATTGAATTAAATCTTCAGCCACTATACATGGATAAAATCCTGTGAAAGGAAGCTTAAATCCTGGAATTTGTCTCTTTACCAAGAGTTAACATATCCACACTTTTATTCATGGGAACTTTGAAACAGTTATGTCCCCTTGTATGTTAACATCCCTCTTCTTTATCACCATCCACTGGTCTCGAGAGATCGCGTTCTGTGTACTGTAGTAGAGACAGTGATGTCGGAGCACTCATCAGAATCAGAACTAGTATCAGGATGCTGAAACAAACAAGTAACAAACTTAAGAAATCTGAGATGACATGCCTAAATAATATATCACGTCTTATTTTCCTCAGCATCAAACAGTTTAAAATGAGAAACTTTTGTTCAATGGGAAAATGAAACAAGTCTTAACCTGTATATTGTGGCCAAGTTACTTTGTTTCAAATCTGAATAGTGAATTCTTCTTACAAAGTTTCATGTCTCTACACAATTCAAGTAAAAACTTACATGTAAATAGTGTTATGATTGGTAATATTCCATGTTGGTCTCACAACTGAGGTAGTGATTTATACTGAACAAAGAGTTTCTTTAGAAATGTGCAAATTTTGCCATCTGGAGTAGAAACCAGAATATTTTATTTTTGCAATGTTGCATGTTGTCCATTTTCAAGAGACGTTTGTCACATGATAGCTACATGGTACGTTTTAAAGATTTTCCATTATGAACTTAAATTTCGTGCTACTGTACCTCGAACACGCGATCTGGAGAGGCAGACACTTGATTGCGTATTTTCCTGACGGTAAGTTCCTTGTCAGAGAGTCCGTCAGATATCACAGCACAGTTTGCCAGCTCCATCTGGAGATTCTCAGAGCTGTTTGTGGACAGGAGTCCATCAGGAGTATCCTGAGCAGACTGTTCACTTGTATTTTCCTCCTCAGACAGAATCCCCTCTGAACTTATCGTAGAACAGTAAGACCGCCGATTACGTGATCTCCTTTTGTCGTCCTCACTTACTTCCCCTTCCTCTGATGACCAGGAGTCATCAGAATTCTGGAAATAAGAATTTGACATTAAGTCTATAGGAGTTATCTCCCTTAAAACAGTTTTATGCACTCAAGAAATTTTGAATTAAGTTCAAACTTTTAAGTAGATAAAAAAGACTGTTTGCTTGGTACTCTGCCAAGAATTAAACCCAGCACATTTCTTTACATAATCTGACTCTATTTTTAGGTAAAATAATTCAAATAATTTGGGACTGCATTACTTCATAATACTAAGCCAAAACATCATTCTTCAAAGACATCCAATGTGTTATGACTTAGAAAATTTCATCAGATATCAAGTAATGTGACTGCTTGTAAAGAATAAAATGTTAACAAAAATAAAACAGAAATATATATGGTAAACCCAAAACTTAAATGGTTTACCATCGAAAACAGAATATTCAGTCATATACTATTTTGTCATTAATCAAAATGTGAGGGTTCATAAAATATGAATATTGTGTATTATAGCCTGCCATAAACACAGCATTTATCTGGTTGTATTCAAAGATTCTAGATCACATGATTCAAAATGATTGTAATTTTTAAGATGACTTTCCAGTTATCAATGTATATGACATTGAAGTTTTGATAATTACTAACATTATGCTCTTGATACAGCCAATATACATCTTATCCTGAACTATGAAATATAAAACAAGATAAAAATCTGTTTTTCAAAGTTGACCAATCAGATTATAATACTAATTCTTCATTAATTGTGATATAACTCATTTTTAAGATCGATATACCGATGAATCTGCAATATTTTGCTCTGTCTCGTGTTAAAACCAAAATTCAATCTCTGGTATAAGCAAAAGAACAAGCCTGTAGCTTGTAGATGAAATGGATTTGCTGGTCTTACCTTTCTGGGTCGGTGCGGGTGGTGCCGATGTTGGGGAATGTTTATAGAATCATTGGAGTCTAAACTGCTCATCCGTTGTGCAATATGTGGCTGCTTTGGCGAGAGTTGTGGTTCACTAGTTGTGCGAGTCACAGTCTGATTAATAATGGAATTCGCATCTATCACAGGTATAGCTGTACTTGTAGTACAGGTACATGTGCACTCAATTGAAGTGTTCGTGGTTAAATTAGTAGAGTCTATAGGACAATTAAGATTTTCATTAGAGTCTTTTTCTCTGGTAGTTGTTTTGATTTCATTGTTTTGGTTTTCCACTAAATCGTAGAGGGCTTGGGAGGGGCTCCGACAAGGGGAGCCCCCAATTGAGTCCCCCAAATTACTTTCTACGTCGGCGCTCGCTCGACTAGAGCGTTTACTGCTAGGGCATGAATTGTCTGTACATTCTCCATCACATCCAAAACAAACATCGTTCAAGTTCTTTTCATTCCTGGCAATTTCTGTTGGCTTATTGACATGACTGCGTAAGACTGCTTGCTCCGGTATTGCCATACCTGGTCCTTGATAAGGAAACCGCGAAGAGGCCAGTGGAGCATGCTCAAGGCGTCGTAGGGCCACTGACTTCCCTTGGAGTTCGTCATTTAGTACATCCCTGACAGGGCTCTTTGCTGGACTTCCCATTATGTTACTGAGAGATCCCTTACTATTGGTACGACGATGACGGCTTTTTCGCATCCTCTGTTTAGTTGGTGATGGAAGAACAACCTCTGAACTTGTAGTCATGCTACTGTCCATGTTCGGGTTATCTGGGCTAAAACAGACAGTAAACATAAGTACAACCAATAGAAGAATTACCCATGATTATACAATCCATATTAGCACCATCCATGATAGCACACTCCAAATGACAGCACAACTCATATTAGCACCATCCATGATAGCACAACCTATATAGTAGTAATATCCATGACAGTACAATCAATTTAGTACAATCATGATAGCACAAACCATAGCAGTACCATTGATATTTGCACAAACCATAGCAGTAACATGGATATTAGAACAACCCATAGCAGTACCATCAATATTAGAACAACCATAGCAGTACCATTGATATTAGGACAACCCATAGTAGTATGTACCATATATAATAGCACAGTTTGTGGGCTTATTAAAAGGCATGGGCTTAACCCTTAATTACTTTCAGTCATCTTCAGTTTAGCCATTTTAACCACAAATCAGTTGATTCCAATTATATACATCATTATAGTTTACTAATTATGTACAATATTATTTCTTTGGGATCATCTTTTTATCAAGGATGCACCAGAAGACCAATATTCATATGAAATCATACTAAAATAAAGTTAGTTTTCCTCTGATGAAAAAATTCCATCTCGATGACCTCAGGCAAATCATTGCTTCTGTTCATTAATCCAGTAGAAATCCTCATTAGGTAATTTAGCTTTCCTTTGAGTAGTCCATACTGTTAATTATATAACAACCCTTTTGATTTAAACCACTGTAGATCAATAGGGAGCCAAGCCGGTTTTTAACCCTCTAGGGAACCCATCAATATTATCCTGCTTATTCATAACAGAAGTCAATTGTAACTTATAAAAAATGTTTTGGAATATTAAATGTGAATCTTAATTCTGTTTTTTACGGTTCCTCTAGTCTTACTATAATGATTGTATCATCACTGGAAAATTTTGTTGGTAACTTTTAAGAAAAAAAAGAATGGTACATTTCAAAAGCGTTCAAGAAACTATAGACTAATTAATGCTCGAGTCTTATTGGATTTTCGGTAAAAGGTGAAATGCCAAGAAAAACCATTAGCACTATCTTTAGCTACAGACTCTTCATCTTACTTGAAAATTACTAACCTTATGACCTTTGAACTTTTATTTGCCTACCAATGACCTATGATCTTTAATTTGCTACTCTTACAACATTTCAGCGTTCTTTTGCCTATAATCGTATGACCTTTGAACCTAATTTCCATGCTGAAAACTTACCTTGTAACCTCAGAACCAGATTTGTACATGCGCTTTTTGCTGAGTCTCTCTATCCGCTCCTGGGCACGGATCACAGGGCGAACAATACTTTTCCTCTTCTTTGTATACATAGCCAACTGCTGCTCTCGTCTACATTAAAACAAGAAATAATCATTTTTTGATGTATATTTGGTAAAACAAAGGTGAACAGTCCTAAAGTTGACGCATTATACAAATTTCAAGATGTTTAGAACTATGTTGATTATTACAAAATCAGAAGAAACGAAATGTCATAGCTAAAATGCAGTAAATTTTCTGATGTCTGTATCTCAATGAAAGAATTACACAATACCTTATTTAAAACACTGGCTACAGTTAAATACTCTAATGACCTAAAAGTAAAACACTCAGATGACTTTAAAATCAAATCAATGTAAAACATTCAGATGACCTTAAAATCAAACACTCAGATGACCTTAAAATCAAACACTCAGATGACCTTAAAATCAAACACTCAGATGACCTTAAAATCAAACACTCAGATGACCTTAAAATCAAACACTCAAATGCCTTTTAAATCAAACACTCAGAAGACCTCAAAAGTATAAAAGTCGAGCATTCTGATGACCTAAAAACCATACCAAGATAAAACACTCAGATGACCTCAAAATCAAACATCTCCGTTACTCACTTGATGAGTTCTCTTTCCCGTTTTTCAAGCTGAAGCATACAGGCTGTTAGCTCCATGTACAGATTGTTTGCTCTCTCTAACTTCCTCTCATAATGTTCCCGAACATCCTGGGCATGTCTGCAAGGTACAATACACATTATTAGCATCTTGAATAAAGTGTGGAGGATTCACAACTCTTGGAAATTTTTGCGATAAAAAAATCTTGTAAATTCCAATGGGATACTGCCTATCATAGGAAAAAGGAATGTTTAACCTATTCACGATAGACATATTTATCTTATTCCTGATAAGAATGTTTACCCTATTCACAATAGACATATTTATCTTATTCCTGATAAGAATGTTTACCGTATTCACAATAGACATATTTTCTTATTCCTGATAAGAATGTTTACCGTATTCACAATAGACATATTTTCTTATTCCTGATAAAAACAATCATTCTATTCACAAACAAATAAGTCTTGTTTTCCTGAAACAATCTATCCTGCCTGTCAACTTTGGGCATTATAAAGAGGGCTGTCACTATATCAAGGGAAATGAAAAAAAATGTACTATCAATATTTTCATTCGCTACTGATCTTGGTTAATACATTCTTCACATGTCACTGACCGTAACTCCTCTCGTCTTCTTTTGACCAGTTCCTCTTCCAGATGGGGCATGTGTGAACCCTCACAGCGGATCAACTGGAGCTGTTGTGCAATCTCTTCCTTCCAGGATGCCTATGAAATGCAAAAACGAGGATGTACTTGAGAAATAGATGAAATTCACATTTAGATTATATCTATTTATCAGAAGCTGACACTTCAATAACTAAAGTTAATGTTGGATTTAGAATACATGTATATACTGTAACCCTACATATTTCAGCAGTAACTTTATTTTGGAGGTAAACTTATTTTCACACTTTTCGGATTGAAGTTATTGGGCTAATCAAACATCATTGCCTTTATTGCACTTTAAGATTGTCTTTAATATAGAAATAATGTGCAAATGTCGCATCCATCAGGAAGCTTATATTGCACTAAATATTTATTGCACCAAAAATAAGTACATTTATAGTAGTAGATTTGAACTTGGGTCAGAGGTGGAATTCACATACAGACTGGGTCAAGAATTGATGACTTCAGTGACTGAAGTCAGTAACCACCATGCTTATGTATTGAATCTATGATAGTCACTTAAAAAGAAAAAAATGAGTTTTACATACTTCAGTGGTAATACTTCAGTGTTTTTTTGTGGTAAATCTATAGTGCTAAACTTTGTTAATGCATTCTGTATGTTGTTTATTCATCATCATGCTATTTTTCAAAGCTTGGTTACATGTTCAAATTTGACAGCTAGTTCCAAATACTGTACATACAATGTACACCTCGTTCCGAATATCAAAAATCATCTTTTCTATAAACATAAACACTGACGATAATTGATAGCTTATATATTTATATGTATGTCTACCCATGATATGTTTACATCAGCCTACCCGTGACATGTTTACATCAGCCTACCCGTGACATGTTTACATCAGCCTACCCGTGACATGTTTACATCAGTCTACCCGTGACATGTTTACATCAGCCTACCCGTGACATGTTTACATCGGCCTACCCGTGACATGTTTACATCGGCCTACCAGTGACATGTTTACATCAGCCTACCTGTGATATGTTTACATCAGCCTACCTGTGACATGTTTCCATCAGCCTACCTGTGATATGTTTACATCAGCCTACCTGTGTGATATGTTTACATCAGCCTACCTGTGATATGTTTACATCAGCGTACCTGTGATATGTTTACATCAGCCTACCTGTGATGCTAGCCTACCTGTGATATGTTTACATCAGCCTACCTATGATATGTTTACATCAGCCTACCTGTGTGATATGTTTACATCAGCCTACCTGTGATATGTTTACATCAGCGTACCTGTGATATGTTTACATCAGCCTACCTGTGATGCTAGCCTACCTGTGATATGTTTACATCAGCCTACCTATGATATGTTTACATCAGCCTACCTGTGATATGTTTACATCAGCCTACCTGTGATATGTTTACATCAGCCTACCTGTGACATGTTTACATCAGCCTACCTGTGATTTGTTTACATCAGCCTACATATGATATGTTTACATCAGCCTACCTGTGATGCTAGCCCACCTGTGATATGTTTACATCAGCCTACCTGTGATGCTAGCCCACCTGTGATATGTTTACATCATCCTACCTGTGATATGTTTACATCAGCCTACCTGTGATGCTAGCCCACCTGTGATATGTTTACATCAGCCTACCTGTGATGCTAGCCCACCTGTGATATGTTTACATCAGCCTACCTGTGATGCTAGCCCACCTGTGATATGTTTACATCAGCCTACCTATGATATGTTTACATCAGCCTACCTGTGATGCTAGCCCACCTGTGATTTGTTTACATCAGCCTACCTGTGATGCTAGCCCACCTGTGATATGTTTACATCAGCCTACCTGTGATGCTAGCCCACCTGTGATATGTTTACATCAGCCTACCTGTGATGCTAGCCCACCTGTGATATGTTTACATCAGCCTACCTATGATATGTTTACATCAGCCTACCTGTGATGCTAGCCCACCTGTGATATGTTTACATCAGCCTACCTGTGATGCTAGCCCACCTGTGATATGTTTACATCAGCCTACCTGTGATGCTAGCCCACCTGTGATATGTTTACATCATCTTACCTGTGATGCTAGCCTACCTATGATATGTTTACATCAGCCTACCTGTGATGCTAGCCCACCTGTGATATGTTTACATCAGCCTACCTGTGATGCTAGCCCACCTGTGATATGTTTACATCAGCCTACCTGTGATGCTAGCCCACCTGTGATATGTTTACATCAGCCTACCTATGATATGTTTACATCAGCCTACCTGTGATGCTAGCCCACCTGTGATATGTTTACATCAGCCTACCTATGATATGTTTACATCAGCCTACCTGTGATGCTAGCCCACCTGTGATATGTTTACATCAGCCTACCTGTGATGCTAGCCCACCTGTGATATGTTTACATCAGCCTACCTGTGATATGTTTACATCAGCCTACCTGTGATGCTAGCCCACCTGTGATATGTTTACATCAGCCTACCTATGATATGTTTACATCAGCCTACCTGTGATGCTAGCCCACCTGTGATATGTTTACATCAGCCTACCTGTGATGCTAGCCCACCTGTGATATGTTTACATCAGCCTACCTGTGATGCTAGCCCACCTGTGATATGTTTACATCAGCCTACCTGTGATGCTAGCCCACCTGTGATATGTTTACATCATCTTACCTGTGATGCTAGCCCACCTGTGATATGTTTACATCAGCCTACCTGTGATGCTAGCCCACCTGTGATATGTTTACATCAGCCTACCTGTGATGCTAGCCCACCTGTGATATGTTTACATCAGCCTACCTATGATATGTTTACATCAGCCTACCTGTGATGCTAGCCCACCTGTGATATGTTTACATCAGCCTACCTGTGATGCTAGCCCACCTGTGATATGTTTACATCAGCCTACCTGTGATGCTAGCCCACCTGTGATATGTTTACATCAGCCTACCTGTGATGCTAGCCCACCTGTGATATGTTTACATCAGCCTACCTATGATATGTTTACATCAGCCTACCTGTGATGCTAGCCCACCTGTGATATGTTTACATCAGCCTACCTGTGATGCTAGCCCACCTGTGATATGTTTACATCAGCCTACCTGTGATGCTAGCCCACCTGTGATATGTTTACATCATCTTACCTGTGATGCTAGCCCACCTGTGATATGTTTACATCAGCCTACCTGTGATGCTAGCCCACCTGTGATATGTTTACATCAGCCTACCTGTGATGCTAGCCCACCTGTGATATGTTTACATCAGCCTACCTGTGATGCTAGCCCACCTGTGATATGTTTACATCAGCCTACCTATGATATGTTTACATCAGCCTACCTGTGATGCTAGCCCACCTGTGATATGTTTACATCAGCCTACCTGTGATGCTAGCCCACCTGTGATATGTTTACATCAGCCTACCTGTGATGCTAGCCCACCTGTGATATGTTTACATCAGCCTACCTATGATATGTTTACATCAGCCTACCTGTGATGCTAGCCCACCTGTGATATGTTTACATCAGCCTACCTGTGATGCTAGCCCACCTGTGATATGTTTACATCATCTTACCTGGGACATCTTGAAGTCATCATGGGAATAGCTCAAGAGTTCAGGTGATGCAATCTCTAAATGCATCAGGACCTGTCGAAACGATGGCCGATTCCTTGTTTTAGCACTCCTGAAAGTATTACAGATGGTAGATAATTTCTACAGTCATAGAATTTATATGATACCTTAAGAAGCTGATTACAATCTGCTTAATGATACATATACATGTTGTCATAGTAGCACACTGTTTGACCTTGAACTTACCAGCACTGTCTCATCAGCAGTTTAAAACCCTCTGGGCAAGTGGTTGGGACAGGAAGGTGGAGACTGTTACTGCCCACACCCCAAATGATGGCAGATGAGTCAACATCTTTGTATGGAATCTCGGCAGACAGGAGTTCCCATAGTACAACACCAAATGACCTTGAAGTAAAAAAAATAAACTTTATGAGCCGACTTTCTTGTATGGAATCTTACCAGGCAGGAGTTCCCACAGCATAACACCTAATGACCTTGAAGAAGGAAAAAAAATATTGTAGAGACCAAATTTTACGAGCCAATTTCCTTGTATGGAATCTTAGCAGACAAGGGTTCCCACTGCATAACACTGAACGACTTTTAAGCAAATAATCATAAAATCAAATTGAGGCCAATATTGCATGTAAAAAGTTTGTGAGGAACTTGACAGGTTTTCACACAACCTTGAGGGTATCACTGCTTTGTCTCATACATATGACATTTTTTATCCATTTTTTTATCAGCATGGCTTGATATAGTCTCCACCACTTAGTTGACAAAGCATGGCGCTATCGGTAGATTATCATTCCAGTGACCCATGTTCGAATCCTGTTGGGAAATTGGAATGTATATTTTCCCTGCTCTATTACATCAGTGTCCAATGAAAATTCCAGTGTTTGTTGTTTTTATTGTCTCTGGTTGAAAGTTAGGGAACAGGTCTGTGTATGGTGTTATATACAGTCTCTCTGCTTGTTTGGCTCAGTCGTTAGGGCCACTGATTACCATGCTGGCAACCTTGGTTCAATTTATGCTTGGGTATTCAAAAGGAATGTGTTTTTTCTTGTTCTTTCAAACACACACACACAATAAACTTAGAAGTGCACTTAGAAATTGACTTAAATCTGCCAGCTCAGGTGTACCTAAACAGTACACACCACTACTATTTAAAGTACTGGTTATCACAAACGTGATTTTTTTTTTCTTTATACATCACAGGTGTTCCCAGAGGACTAATTTCTTGTCTTTTCATCAAAAAGAAAAAAAAAATCTATGCAATTGAATCTGTGTAATTTGTTTTCCTGGACGGCTTAACTGTGACAGTCTTAGTCTTAGTACAGTAGTGCATAGGACCACCCACCCACCCACGAGTCATTGACAGCTGCTGAAACTGGTACACCACAATATACACTACACAAGGTCACCTGCCTTGTATTGTTGAGGTAGATATTTAACTTTATTGACTAAAGAAAATGTATCTAAAACAATGCCCAAACCCATTAACTGTTTGTGTGGGTCATCAGATCCAAATAACCTGGTCATGTAGATTCTTGATGAAAATATTGAAACTGGTTTAATTCTGAATATTTCAAAAATTCTTCCTACGGCCAAACTTTTTGTTTTGAAACTATAACTTTGTTTGATTTTTCTTGAAATTAGGAACATACTGGTCCTTTGGGCCAATATTTCTACACTTCTTCCTCAAAGTCAGGAGATGGGCTTATCATATACAGGAGGACAAAAAAAGTGTTGGCTATGTAGTTATACTGGATAGCATTACCTGCTATATATGGCTTGGCTAATTACCAGCATCAGGCTTAAAGTCAGATAAATGCAGAACTCAGATTTTATGTTGCTGACAATGTTATAAAATCAAAAATACAATAAAACATGATGCATAAAACACAATTTCTTTTTTATTTCCGAAAATTGAGGGATTAAAACTTACCAGATATCGACTTTCTCAGAGCAAGGTTCATTTCGGATCACCTCAGGGGCCATCCATGCTACAGTTCCTGCAAATGACATTTTGGTGCTCTTCTCATTCCACGTTCGACTTGTCCCAAAATCCGAGATCTTTACAACATCATTTTTTGCCACCAAAACACTGCAAATAAATTCAAATATTTTTTTTTTCAAAATTCTCATTCAAATTTAAACCAGGAAACACATCAGCTTAACCAAGCAACACGAAATCAATACTCCTCCCCTTTCCTTAACATTGGTTTGGCTGTGAAATCTGATTATTGAGGAAACAACACAATAAAATTGTACCCAGAAGACTTGTTAAACAGTTCAAGATCCCTGGTCGATCAGACATGATATATACTGTAAGCAAAAACAATGCCTCGTTCAAAAACACACCTACATTTTTGCTCATTTGCATGATTTCATTGTCTTATCAAAAACTCAATCATATCAATTTTACAGCAAAAATGAAGCAAGTGACATAAACTTAAATCAATCATTTGTTTTTTAAGATGGTTTCAGGTTTATTGGGGTCTTAATTCTGAATGAAAACAAAGTGTCTGTAAAACTAGAAAATGTCTTTAAGACATGAAAACCGTCCCCCTTATGCACACTGAAACAAATCATGTGTAGAACTTGATGTTATGACAAAATGGAGTCCTTGTGAAGCAAAGCTAGTAGGATGATCACCATGTCTAATAAAGAAGTTTTCATCAAGGTAAAATTGCAATATCCATGACGATTATTTTTTTTACCTTGATCTATAATCAGTACACCAAACATGATCAGGGACTTACTTGGGTGATTTGAGGTCTCTGTGTATGATTTTGTGGTTGTGGAGATAGTTCATACCACTGGCTATCTGTTTGGTCCAGTCAAGGACCAACTGAGGCGGTATCTCCTTGCCGTCCCTGAGAATCTCGTAAAGTTGGCCGTATGGGCAGTACTCCATGATAATACAATAACATGGCGCTTGTGTACATATACCTCTGTGAAAGTGAAAGAAACACAATAAATTTGTGAAGAAATGTGTTGTCACTTTTTAACTGAAAATCAGTCAAAACTGTCCATAAAATGGTCTTTAAACACAGGTGGCCTTTATATAGAGGTTCAGTTACTATGAATTGCATTACATAGGAACCAAATACAGCCAAACCTGTCTATAAAGGCTACTCAAGGGATCAGAGAAAGTGGCCTTTATACACAGGTGGCTTTTTAGTAAAGGTGGCCTTTTACATGATTTTGACTAAATCTGTATTTTGAAATTTTGATTTAACATCGAAATGAGCCAAATCAAATTTGTCCTTGTGATTCTCATTTCATGAAAATCTTTCTACTACCATTTGTATTATAATTGACAAAGTAAAATAGTAATCAACTGAATCAAAATGAAACATGAATTGATAAAGGGAAGTAACTCTAAATGAGAAACTATTTATAACTGCAGTGTTACATTCCATCTTAAATTTTCAATTTTAAATTGTATCTATGACTTACTTAAAAGTGATGATGTTCGGATGGTTAAGTTTGCGGAGGTTTTTTATATCAGTTTCTTTAACATCACGAACTTTCTTCACTGCCACCTCCTCGCCATTTAGTTTACCCAGGAAAACAGCACCCTGAGCACCACTTCCGAGCCACTGAAGATCTGTGATGTTCTCAAACGGGATTTCCCAATCATCTGTAGCACAAAGTATATAACGTTGATATCAATGATAACAAATATTTTCATGGGTTTTTTTTTTATTGATTAACGTATAAGTGTAATTTGCCCCTCACCGGTCATCCTTCAGAGGCAGAACACCTAGTGCTACTCAAACTCCTCAAATCTAAATCTGAGATATATTTGACATGTACAGCATTAAGTATGTATTGTATGTCATCAAAAGTTTGACCTAGATCATCTCTTTGTAAACTGAGATCTGATGTAGAGGATGTCTCCTCATCTTCATTTCATATCCTTCCTTTATATATCAATTTCCATAAATAATTATCACTTTGGACAAAAACACAAAGAGACTGAAAATCAATTATACATACAGTGACCTTAAATTTTACAGTGACAATGAAATTCAACAAAAACAACAAGAACTGGGGAAATCTTAGTTTAAAACAAAAATCTTCAGTTATATTCTCTTTATTTTCCATTTACATTGTATGTTACTTCTTGCAATTCAAGACTTCAAGCATCTTTGTTTGCACTGACATGATAAAACAACCAGAAATATCAAATGAAGGATTACTGTTGTCCAATCCAGCAATGTTTTTATATTGAAATTGCAAAGCGAATATTTTTTATGAAAAATTAATGTTTTTTTTTTTTTTTTTTGGTCTGTAACAGCAACTGATCAATTTCGTCAAGCTCAGTCTTGTTATTACAGCCAACCAAACAATCATAAAACAGTTGTCCTTTTTAACAATTATTTCTGCTTCGTATTTTGTTGAGTCCAATACGATTTGAATAATGAACACTGAGTGTTTTTCTCCTCCTTCGCATCGATCAACGAAATTGTGTTTTACGAGGAACTTGTGGCACTATTTGTCTCGTCGATAGGTAGGCCGGCGTCTATACCCTTGGGAATGGTTCCGTATTGCGCTAACCATCCACCCTATTGAAAATTTAATAACCCTTTATATCCGGTACTATTGGCTAAGCCAAGTTTTACATGCCTCTGTATTGAGGTCAAACAATGGGCTTGCATTGGGCCACACCGACTGATCAATCGGCATGGCTACTCGATAATGCCACAACTTATCAAACAGTTCCGCGGACACAATAGTATTCTGTCTCAATTGGCTTCTACTGAATATCAATTTGACATTGTTCTCACTAAATGTCACAGCTTATTGGGAGGATGGGAATGTAAAGGAACCATTGACATAGTCAGCTGTTCAAGTTAGGTTAGTCTATAGTATCCAGTTATATCAAACACTTAAATCAAGTCTTTTGAAGGACAGGTATGGTTTTACTAACAACATATACAGTTATAACAGCTTCACACATCATGCTTGTAGAATCCTAATATTTGAGAAGTAAATCCATTTCATGAAAAGCAATTTATCAATAATACCACTAGCACCATATAGATAGAAGTCTGAATTTGGCTTAGTAAGTATACTTATCTACAACAGTACATATCAAATAGTTATCTTTTATTTGTTTACAATAACATCAAATTTTATCTAAACTGACTGAACTCTATAATTGTTTGTAAAATGTGCAAATGAAGACTAAGACAATTCACTCGAAATTTGAGTTTTTTCCTCCATTTATTTAGAATAAATCACATCAATTATAGTCGAGATATTCAATTTTCTGAATATATATATGGTTCCGTTTTTTACTTACAAACTTAATATATATATATTTAGTTTGTAAGTAAAAAACGGAACTAATATGCAAACAAAGTAGAAATGAACATAAATTTTCTTAAATAGATGAGTGCTTTTTGAAGTACATGAACGTGTGTGTGTGTCTAATGATGTTGGTTTTGCTAGCAAATTGAACATGTCAAACATCAGCCATGCATCATCAAATATTGATATTTACACAAACTGGACATCAGTTGGCTATTATTCCAGCCAGCACTGACCACAAATATCTCTCTATTATTTTTGACCTTTCAATGACCTGGACGTGCTTCCATTTTGTTGCTTCTATTCACAGATGGTTACTTTGATAATGAAAATATTAGCATCTTCCATTTGATGTGCATTAAAGGGAACTCCCAACACATAATTCAAAGGATCTAGAATTTCAAAAAATGTAATCATTATCGGCACAATATTATTAGATGTTAGATTAAGCTCTCAGCATTTTGATTGTGTTGTCAATGAATTTATACGGAAATTTAAAAAAAAAAAAAAAGCACACAAAAATCTTTCGCAACATTGAAACTGTTTACCTTTTACTTTCAAATCGTTTCTAATGATGATAAAAACAAAACTATCAAATTTCTTATAATAATGAGTGTTTTGTTCTGCTTTTCAAGCACTAAAAATATCTAGCATGCTGAACATGAAATATATACCAATTACCATGGCAACTACAAATCAGAATTCAACATCAAAGATTATACAAAAGACACCGTAAGTAACTATTAACTTTTAATAGAAATTTAGCATCAGATACAGTAACATAACAAATTAAACTGGATCCTACAGCTGTTTTGTTCTTCTAACTTACGTGGAGACTACTTACAACAACATTCCACAACGGTCAGACAACAGATTCCCTTGTCATCAGTTTTTGACAATATATAAGACAAATAGTCCTGGTGATAAAAGCTGTCTTGCTGGAAATTTTGAATTCCAAAATTTGTAATGATATATTTATATATTTTGATGATACTATGAAATTAATGGTAAATTTTACTTTTTGTTGTGGAGCTTAAAAAGTCTGGGGGGTTTTTTTTCACAAAAGTATCTTTATCTCAATGACATCAGACAGTGAAGATTTAGCGGACCACTTTGTAACACATTTTTTTATCTATATAATGGGCCTATAAAGTATTAAAGACGACGAGCTACCCCATCCCCCCCTTCCCGGTTTATAAATGTATAAATGCTGTGTCCAATCTCGTAATCTTGAACAATAATTTCCCAGTTAAATATGAAGTACACTTTAAATGTATCAGTAAATTAACAGTAAAATACATCACCTACATCAAAGATGTAACTTTACATACCTATAATACATCATATTCATGGGACAGAAATTTACATTTCACTAAAAAAAAAATTTTCATTTGTCAGTAACAGTTTGTGTGTTGGAATCATTGTCCTGTCAGTAACCAGGGTGATTTTGAGGCAAAGAGTCTTCAAAGTAGCTGGTGACTCCATCTCTAAAGTACATATGAGAGGTACGTCGCCTCCATCCTGAACACATTTATGATAGGTTAAAGTGTCTTGCCCAAGGACACAACAAAGCCAGCTCAAACTGGTTCATTTCTCAGCTTCCTGAGAAACACAAACCATGACACGCAATGAGATTTAAATCAAACTATGACTGCAGATCTTTACCTAAAGTTACATAAAAACAACAAACTGTTTAACCTAATGAGCTTTCGGGATCCCTGGCTATAATAGAAATGTCCACAAATCCTGGGAGTTTTATCACAAATATAAGTTTAAATAATTTCAATTAACCCTTCAGCCAGAATAATTTGAAACACTGTGAAATAACAGCCAGAAGACGAACATGACTACATATTTCTTTAAAATACAACAAATCAATACTTTCCTCTTCTGCTACAAGATTTTCTCAAAACTCACAATATAACATACACCGACAAACATCATTATTGTGAAGAACCGACTTGTGAGATTTCCTATAATAACTGTATATATTAAGAACTCTATAGGAACATCTCCTTAATAGGCCACAGTATACACAGACCAACTGAAATTAGCATGTGCTTTCCCAATCTAATAACATGGCCATAATTTGGAAATCTGACTATCAAGTCAAAAATCAATACGGCAGTCTAATGTAAGAGAATTTTCATGGAAATTCTACAACACAAAACTGTTTTATAGCCAGAGGCAGACTTTTATCCAAGAAATGCCAAAAGTAGCAAGCTCTTTATACGTCAATGTTGCTTTGCCACATATGCAAATTTGGTAACCAAGATCAGAATACCGTCCACACGAGACATTATGACTGAGCCTTATGCCTGTGTTGTGCATATGTTATTTCCCTTGTGGGGTTTGAACAAAGACAGTGATTCTAAGTCTGTCTTGGAATCTAAAGAATTTGAAAACCTGTTTGTGCAAGGCAACAGTAACCAAAGAGTAGCTTTCCTGGCATGTTGCTTTAAAAAGTGTCAGATTTGAAAACTTATTGTTATAAGCCATCTTTAATTAAGTATGGATACCATGTTTTGTAGTAAGAAAGAACAGTACAATACAACATGTGAAGATGTTGTATGCGAATCTCGGCAGAAAATACAGATGTCACCCTCAGTGTTGTCAGACAGATCAATAAGTTTTTTCTTTAAATAGCTGTGCATGTTTTTACTTTGAGAAAAATTTTCACTCATGAATTGTTTGGTCAACAGTAATTTTTTTATACAGTCTCCATAATTTGTATAGTACCACCATCTTTGTCCACTAAACCTTGTTATATTGTTATATATCCACACTAAAACATTGCTATAATGTCACAATTGCAAAATAAAACCCCCGTTATACTGCCATATTTTGTTCAGCAAAATTTTAGCGCTGTAATTTTTTTGTGATATATCACAGAAGATAAAAATGAAACTAGGACACTAGAAACTAGAACTTTTAAGAGCAGGGAACAGGTTGGAATGTACTTACATGAATCTGTGAATACTAAAGTGAAATTTTTTACCATCATTCATAGTTACTGCTCCTGCATTTAATATATTAAAAGTTCAGATCGAACAGAGTCTACCCTAGGAAATTTAGCCCTAAATATTACAGAGCTGGGATTAAAGAAAGAGATAGAATTAGAGTCAGTACTGATTGACAAGTCCATACATATGTCAGTAATGTTCGTACACCAATGTTGTGATGTCAATACTACTAAATAAGACAATTACCTTTCAAAGCTTCCCTGCATAGATAACAGCAGATGATTTCTCTCCACGACTTCTTCCCCATATTGTTTGTATGGGGTTCTCATACATATATCAGAATCTTTATCATGTCAGTGGGTGAAATAGCCAATAAAACTCACATAATACTTAAAACAAATTCTAAACAGAAACATCCAAATTGAACCTTTTCATATCACCAATATATATATACGTCCTCTTTACTCCTTTCTTTTCTGGCACATTTCAAAAGTTGTGAATTTTGCATTTCAGCTGAAATCCATTATACCCTTTATCTATGTTTCGTAGAAAGTTGGATTAATATTTCAAAATATCAGTTCGATTGGCACCAATGAAGTAAGTATTCTCAAACTCTGCTCAAGGCATGAATTTTTTGTTCACAAATGGAAATTCTGTGCGAAAACACTTTCTTTACAATGGACAGCTGCAGGAACTGTGTCGCGGTACTTTTCAACTACTACAATGCTGAGTGATCAATCTTCTCTTAAGGACTCCTACAAGGATCAGTCCTGAAAGCCATCTTTTTCAGTGACATGTCAATCACTTGTAATGCTTGACCATATTCTACACCCAATATCATTACTCCTTCATCAAATTCTTTTCATTATTTTCTTTTCTACGAAAGTTTCAGTATCATCTTGTTAGAAACAACAAATTTTGTTCCTGTGAACACGTAAGAAAACACTATCACATGGATATCTCACTATTCAAATACATAGAGAATGTACAAATCATGTGCACAACTTCTGTGAAATTTTACATCATCCTATAAATGTATCACTCAACACTAACACCAACAATATGTCCTCCGCAGTCACTATTTGATGTCAATTTTGCCAACATGTCAAGATGGCCACTGCTGTCGAGTCTCGTGACTCTCCACCTGTTGCTTGTCTATCTGTAATCGCCCATTATGCTTCATTCACAATCCACAACCAGCATCTGGCAAGGCTTTATCCATCAGTTTTAAAAGCATTTGACTATAGCTTGGTATCAACACTGACGTACATGTCCGCCATGAATTTGATTTGTTTCAAAGGAAATCGTGAGGTGAATATTGATTAATGAAGATTTCAAAATGTAGAAATAGCTAGGTATAACTACGACAGCTGTAGAATGTCTCAAAAACAAAACTTGCTCCGAGTAGAGATAAAACCCAAAGTTAAACATATCTCATAAAAGTCTCTCCTGAAACTTCATTTTTGTGATGGCTACAAACATGGAATATTTTCAAAAATATATGATTCAAATATTTCATTACAACAAAGACGATTTTGTACTTGGGTCTTTTTTTGTTTTTGAGATTGTGGTTTACAGAAAAGTGGGGTGATCAATAGTCCAGTGTGTAAATTTATGGTAACAGCTGCCATCAGGACGTCATCAAGTATATACCATGTCACTGCTGGGGATAGACAACGAAGTACCTGCTGTATTTATCCTTCAATAACCCCAAATGGACAAGTAACTATATCTTAATCATAACTCTTGAACAAACTACCTTAAAGATAGCAAAGAAATTTCAGTCGTTATTAACTTATTGTAACTTGTTAAGTTGGAAAAAACCAATACGTGGTAGTGCTTTAGCTGGATATTTCTGCTGTATAAGATAAACTTAAGTATGTCCCATATTCAAAAAATGCCAGTTCAACAAAACCACACAAAGCAGATGTGATGGTGCCTTCATATCGCAGGTATCAAGCCAATCTATTAGCTGTATGGTATTTAATTCCTTTTGATATTTCAGTGCTGTAGCAAAGTGTTATTTTGTATGTTTGTTCACGTCTAGTGTCTTTTGTACTGTGTGATGTTTTGGAGCCAATACTGACGTAAGTTAGCTACAGCTGTGACGCTAGTACAATCAATCGCTTCAGGGAAATTTAGGTGTAGGCGGGAAACTCTAAAAGCCGCAAACTTCAATAAACATACTCTGTTATTTATTATCTTACAGGAAAGGTCACATGTAAGATGTCGTCAATAAATACTGCTGACGAAAAGAAAAAGTGTTTTTTATATTTTACATGCATTTTCTCTTATTTACATTATTGCAGAAATTGTAATGCGCAAAAAAAAAAATAAAAACCAAAAACCAAAACAAAAACCTAACTATGATACAAATATAGAAATCTTAAGTCTTTGGGGAAAACTAGATAGTACATTTTGGACAATTCCAAATTGATTAATTTGAAGGAAAGTTAGAATATAATTCAATCAAAGCTTAGATATATAAACTGACAGCTCCCTTGATTTAGTTCCAGATAATGAACACTCCCTATGGTGTGGATGTAACACCAGCCAATTGAGACTAATTGAGGTAATAAGGTCATGAACTCATTATGTGACAAGTTATTTGCATACTAAAACACCTTGCTAGACCTGTACACACTATAAATCTTGGCTAATCAATACACAGCTGAACCTATCAACAACCCGGACAGCTGGACATAGCCTAAATGTGACCTTGAAGGAGGTATTATCAAAGGACCATCAGAGATGTCATTGTTCACATCAGGGAAAAATATCAACAAGAAATCATGATTTCACCGATATATCTCAATGGTCTATATCATATATCTCAAAGGTCTACATCATACATCTGGTCTATATCATATATCTGGTCTATGTCATATATCTCAAAGGTCTATATCATATATCTGGTTTATATCATATATCTCAAAGGTCTATATCATGCAGAAGTGACACTTCAACTATGCTTTGAACAAAATCCTAGGAAAACTGATTGGAACTCGAACATGGTGGTGTATCTTGCTTTTATTTTTCACTTTAATATCTACATTAAAGTCAATCTGTTATTCAATTTTTTGAGTGTTTTACATCCTTTAATTAGCTTTGGTTGTAACACCTAAAGAGGAGCTAGCTATCAGCAAATATCGGGACAGAAAATATTCCATTATCAGGATATGAATCTATCTATTGAGGAAATTGTGACTCTTTGAAAATGACCATTGATGATAATACACATAGTAAAAGCAGCATTTTAAAAATATGTATAAATTGTTTGGGATTCTTTAGACATTGTCTATAATAATTTTCTGCACCATGGACATTTAAAACATAACACTCTTTCACTTCAGTATGCCAGGAATTCACCAACAGCTAAACTAATGTATAAAATTTCTGAAATTTTCAGAAAAACTGCCACTCATTCTTAATAATACAAAGATATATGTATTGAAAATGTTGATTCAATTCAAATAGAAAATGAAATAGATATCCCCTCTATAACAATTAAGGAAAATGATGAAAATTCTGTAATGTTGGTCAAAAATTCAAGGAATCTGATTTTTCCAATAGAAATATTTGAGGAATGTCTGTCGTGATTCTCTAACCTAGTGTTTGACAAAGTCTGTTTCAAATATTCATTGTAAAGGGCCACATCAATGACAGCAGCCAAGCTGACAGCTGTGTATCATATAGGTAAATATACTCATGTATTACTTATTGTCTGGAAGATATTTTTCCCTCAAAATTTGTAGAAGTAAATACTTTATGCAAAGAACACCTCAATAACTAGCTAGCTTTATCAAGTATTTTGTCAAAAAATTTGAAAAAAATATTAAGAATGTTGTGTTTAGATGATTTTATTCTGTTCACTACAACTTCAGGAGAACTTCGCATTTCAAGAATAAGGTGTGATTTACAAATTTTCATCAGTAAGAACTCTTCAGTTTCTAATGAAAAGGCCCCAGTAATGTTTATTTTCCACATTGTTTGAAGAAATATTGGTTTTAATTTTTTCAAGGAAAGTAAAATTTGCACCTGAATGTTCATTTTTAATGATACATGTGTCAGCATTGTTCTTACCTTGTTGTTTAAGTTCATTCTGTGCAGCTTTTCCAATCATGGACCACACTGGACGTAGACACCCTAGTAAACCTTCAAAAAATCCTCTCTGGGCGGCGTCACGATAACCCACTTCTAGTTCATCCTCCTGACGTTTAGCTGCATGATGGGATGGTGTGACAGGGGCAGAGTGTGCCTCGGTGGGGGAAGGTGTTGAGGAAGACGAAGATGATTTTTCTGTGAGGCTCAGTTGATCTATATCATGTTCTAACTGAAGCATACTGGAACATAAAGGAGCATGAACATATAACATCAGTAAAGACAGGTTAACAGACACTTTTCTTTAGATGTCAGTAAAGACAGGTTAACAGACACTTTTCTTTAGATGTCAGTAAAGACAGGTTAACAGACACTTTTCTTTAGATGTCAGTTAAAACAGGTTAACAGACACTTTTCTTTAGATGTCAGTAAAGACAGGTTAACAGACACTTTTCTTTAGATGTCAGTAAAGACAGGTTAACAGACACTTTTCTTTAGATGTCAGTAAAGACAGGTTAACAGACACTTTTCTTTAGATGTCAGTTAAAACAGGTTAACTTTTCTTTGGACGTCAGTAAAGACAGGTTTACAGATATCTTTCTTCAGACGTCAGTAAAGACAGGTTAACAGACACTTTTCTTTAGATGTCAGTAAAGACAGGTTAACAGACACTTTTCTTTAGATGTCAGTAAAGACAGGTTAACAGATGTCTTTCTTTAGATGTCAGTAAAGACAGGTTAACAGACACTTTTCTTTAGATGTCAGTAAAGACAGGTTAACAGACACTTTTCTTTAGATGTCAGTAAAGACAGGTTAACAGATGTCTTTCTTTAGATGTCAGTAAAGAGAGGTTAACAGACACTTTTCTTTAGATGTCAGTAAAGACAGGTTAACAGACACTTTTCTTTAGATGTCAGTAAAGACAGGATAACAGACACTTTTTTTTAGATGTCAGTAAAGACAGGTTAACAGATATCTTTCTTTAGATGTCAGTAAAGACAGGTTAACAGACACTTTTCTTTAGATGTCAGTTAAAACAGGTTAACAGACACTTTTCTTTAGATGTCAGTTAAAACAGGTTAACAGACACTTTACTTTAGATGTCAGTTAAAACAGGTTAACAGACACTTTTCTTTAGATGTCAGTTAAAACAGGTTAACAGACACTTTACTTTAGATGTCAGTTAAAACAGGTTAACAGACACTTTTCTTAAGATGTCAGTTAAAACAGGTTAACAGACACTTTTCTTTAGATGTCAGTAAAGACAGGTTAACAGACACTTTTCTTTAGACATCAGTAAAGACAGGATAACAGATACTTTTCTTTAGATGTCAGAAAGACAGGTTAACAAACACTTTTTTTTAGATGTCAGTAAAGACAGGTTAACAGACACTTTTCTTCAGATGTCAGTTAAAACAGGTTAACAGACACTTTTCTTTAGATGTCAGTTAAAACAGGTTAACAGACACTTTTCTTTAGATGTCAGTAAAGACAGGTTAACAGACACTTTTCTTTAGATGTCAGTAAAGACAGGTTAACAGACACTTTTCTTTAGATGTCAGTTAAAACAGGTTAACAGACACTTTTCTTTGGACGTCAGTAAAGACAAAAATACTGTTAGTTTTCCTGATGTCAGTAAATACAGCTTTGTGGACACAGTTCAGACTGACAGGCTAACTAATATCATTCTTAAGGTGTCAGTAAAGACACAATACTGACCCACAGGCACATTTCAATTCCATTATCTTTAGATTTATTTTAAAGTTGTTTCTTTTGGTTCACATTTGTTTCCTTTCAGCAAAATGCTCTTAACAATTTCCCTAAAAGGCTGGTACTATATATTAACAAGACAATCATCTGATGTCATAAAGACTTGACTTATGATGACACAATATTGTTATTATATATCTTACAATATATACAACATGGCCATTATGCCATGACGTAGCAATTTTGTTATGTGATAAATTGGCTTCAGAAACATTAAAGCTAAATACACTGTTGTATTTGTTCAAACATTTTTAACATTTTGAGTTCTTACACATTTTACTCTCACCTAGTGTTTGTTTAATTGTTTAAGCCTTCACTTCTGACAAAAATACTTTTACAGTCAACAGCAGAAAGGTTCAATTCTCGTAAACTGCTATTTTAACATTGTCAGCAAATTTCCATTGGTTTGCCCTGAAGGTTAAATGTCACTGTGGAGACATAAAATCGCTGAAACTCGCAGAATGGAACTTAATCGTAGGAGGGTTAGTACAAGTTTTATTGACTAATGTGACTTGTTTCGTGTAGAAGCTTCGGAGAAAGCCTCGCACTTAATCGGCAGGTTCTACAGGGTCACAAGGTTTGTATATTGTATTGATTCAAAGCTGGAATTGAGCTATATTTATACAGGACAAGGGAAAATATCACAAGTCTTAACTTCAGTAAATCTACTTCATTAATTCTGCAATACACCCAAGATCTCTGATTCAAAGTCAGAAAAACAACATGAGAGCTAAACATGGGCTTATTACCAGGCATAAGTTTTCTGAAAATAAGCAGTAAAGCCAATAGCCATATAAGCTGAGTTATATATCTCCACACTTGAACTTATAAATAATTTGGTTCTAAATTCAATTTCAGACTTCACCAATTTTCCTATACCTTGTTCTGATTCATTTGAATGATGGCAAGTCTATTAGGTCAATTTTTTTCAATTGGTGAGGGGGCCAATATGGCAAATGCAAATATGTACTTGATGTTGTGTTTAAACCATCAAATATTGAAAATTATGAAATATGTTATGCTACAGAGGTAAGTGTGTCAGTTAAACCACAGAGGTAGGTGTGTACAGTAAACCACAGGGGTAGGTGTGTACAGTAAACCACAGAGGTAGGTGTGTACAGTAAACCACAGGGGTAGGTGTGTACAGTAAACCACAGGGGTAGGTGTGTACAGTAAACCACAGAGGTAGGTGTGTACAGTAAACCACAGGGTTAGGTGTGTACAGCAAACCACAGGGGTAGGTGTGTACAGTAAACCACAGGGGTAGGTTTGTACAGTAAACCACGGAGGCAAGTGTGTACAGTAAACCACATGTGTAGGTGTGTACAGTAAACCACATGTGTAGGTGTGTACAGTAAACCACAGGGGTAGGTGAGCATAGTAAACCACAGAGGTAAGTGTGTACAGTAAACCACAGGGGAAGGTGCGTACAGTAAACCACAGGGTTAGGTGTGTACAGAAAACCACAGAGGTAGGTGTGTACAGTAAACCACAGGTTTAGGTTTGTACAGAAAACCACAGGGGTAGGTGTGTACAGTAAACCACAGGTTTAGGTTTGTACAGTAAACCACAGAGGTAGGTGTGTACAGTAAACCACAGGGGTAGGTTTGTACAATAAACCACAGGGGTAGGTGCGTACAGTAAACCACAGAGGTAGGTGCGTACAGTAAACCACAGGTTTAGGTTTGTACAGTAAACCACAGAGGTAGGTGTGTACAGTAAACCACAGGGGTAGGTTTGTACAATAAACCACAGGGGTAGGTTTGTACAATAAACCACAGGGGTAGGTGCGTACAGTAAACCACAGGGTTAGGTGTGTACAGTAAACCAATGTGGTAAGTGTGTACAGTAAACCACAGGGGAAGGTGTGTACAGTAAACCACAGGGGTAGGTTTGTACAATAAACCACAGGGGTAGGTGTGTACAGTAAACCACAGGGGTAGGTGTGTACAGTAAACCAATGTGGTAAGTGTGTACAGTAAACCAATGTGGTAAGTGTGTACAGTAAACCAATGTGGTAAGTGTGTACAGTAAACCAATGTGGTAAGTGTGTAAAGTAAACCAATGTGGTAAGTGTGTACAGTAAACCAATGTGGTAAGTGTGTACAGTAAACCACAGGGGTAGGTGTGTACAGTAAACCAATGTGGTAAGTGTGTACAGTAAACCAATGTGGTAAGTGTGTACAGTAAACCACAGGCTTAGGTGTGTACAGTAAACCAATGTGGTAAGTGTGTACAGTAAACCAATGTGGTAAGTGTGTACAGTAAACCAATGTGGTAAGTGTGTACAGTAAACCAATGTGGTAAGTGTGTACAGTAAACCAATGTGGTAAGTGTGTACAGTAAACCAATGTGGTAAGTGTGTACCTTCCTATTTATATCTTGAAACTAAGGTTGATCGGGACCTTGAAAGCTTGAAAGACAAAGCAACCTTATTGAAGTCAGCCATGCTTCCTGGTTTCAGGAAAGAATTCTTCTGGTCGATAGGATTTCTGTTATTGACTGAATTCATTTCAGTTGTTGTACAACTTTTTACAATAATGTCTGTCTACTACATACAATACACAAAGTTTTATACAACAACTGACAGGACTGTCTTGATAAAATTTCCTTGGGTCAATAACAGACACTGTAACTAGTGAAACACTAGCACTAGTACAAACATTTTCTGATGTAACATTGATTAAAATCTGAAGCTTATTGCTTGTTCAGCAATCTATTTCTACAGAAGAAGCCATCAAGATTTGCTGATTCAGCACAAACCATTGGATTCTAATGTCTTGCGGTAAGAGTTTGAATAATGAGAAAACTTCAACCTGAATTCAGTATACTTAGAAGTTTAAATAAGACCTAAACACAAGTACTATTTATGAACAAAAGAACAGTCATAACTTGGTAACAATATGTAGAAAAAAAGCCTAGAAATCACCATTGTATATCTCTCGATAGTAGCCTCACCACATCAAGATACAATTATACTGCTGATGTCTGTGTAGAATTTACTTTAGCAATACTTGTTCATTCCCCTGACACCTTATAAGATATTTTTCTGCAGACAGGCGTTGTGACATAAATTACACAATGTCTACAAAACGTTTTGCTGATTCAGCAGAATCTCTATATGGCAGGATGTCAATAACATAAACATACAAATTAATTTGGGCACACACAAAATTTTGCGTGGGGGAAGAAAATTGTGTTTTCTATGAAATGTCATCAATCTTACGTCTCGAGCTGGTTTCCAAGGAGATAGATGCCTGTCTATATATCAATGTATTGATCATCCAAGTAGGTCTGAAGGTTTGTTAGGGAAGATAACGCTACACCATTTGTTCTCACGCGGATGCAATAGGACAAAAACTCTGTTTTCTACAGCTTTGCTAGCAGGGATGGTAATTCATCCTGTTTTCAACTTGTCAGAACAGAAATAGATATCATTTATACACTTGTTTTTTCTGATCTCATGTTTCTG